ACCGGGTCTCGCCGCCCCCGTTTGCCGGCGCGGTGTTGATGCACAACCGGAGAGTGGGAGCGGTGTGGGGTGTCAGCCGGGCTGGTGGGTTGGGGATGAACTTCCACCAGCCCAAGGACTTGGTCTCCAGTGTCATCCCCCACCACGGGAGTGATGCCCCTGACCTGGACTGCTCCAGGCTTGGGTACAGACCCTCACCCTACAGACAGGAGCTCAAGGATCTCAGCACATGCACCCCACGGATGGGATCCTTCTTTTTTAGAGCCTGCTGTGCTCAGCGATGGATGCTCCTGCTCCCTAACAGGAGAGGATGAAGCCCTCCTGAGACCAGAGGACCTCCATGTACCCGCAGCCAGGCAGCCCAGAGCTGCTTTTAATTGCCTCGGGGGTGCCAAGCCCCCCTAACTCTGCCCTCTTCCTTCTGCCAGACTGCCCAAAGGGGCCGGACGTCCTGGTGGTCCTGCTCTCGGTCACAGGTGCCATCCTGCTCATCGGCCTCGCTGCCCTCCTCATCTGGAAGCTCCTCATCACCATCCACGACCGCCGGGAGTTTGCCCGTTTTGAGGAGGAGAAGGCCAGGGCCAAATGGGACATGGTGAGGGCCAGCGGGTCGGCTGCAGAGTCCTGCCTGTGCCGGGCAGGAGTCCCTGAGTCCCACAGCCCCTGGGCTGAGTGGATCCAGAGCCCAGTGCTCCCAGCACGAGAGCCCAGTTGCTGTCTGTGGTCCTGGGGCATGGTCCCTAGGGCCCAGCTTGCCCCATCCCTCTCTGAAGCATGGCACAGTGTCACTGGCAGGACTTGGGGTGACATTGTCAGCCTAGACACCCCTTCCCCGAGCCCACTGCGGTCCCAGGGGCTGTGCACAGGTGACAGCAGATGTCCCAGATGATTTTCCCACCTCCAGCCTATGCCAAGCGCTTGTCACCAGCGTGACCCTCTTACTCACTGCCCACACCAGTGTTTCCACCCTGTGAGCGAGGCGGAAGGTCCCTGCTGCCACGGGATGCTGGAAGGGCTGAGGCACCTGGGGCACGAGGGAGGGGGCTGGGATGGCACCGGTGCCTGTCCCCCACCTCTCCTCCGCCTCCCCAGCAGGAAGGGATGGGGTGGGATGGGGTGGCCCTTTCAGGAGGCCACTCTGCTCCTGAGCTCCTGCTGCCTTCCCTCTCCTCCACAGCAGCTTTTCCCTGCTCTCCTCCATGAAACCTTATGGGGAGCCATTAAACTGCGCAGCCGAAACCTTGAGTGGACACACGGATCCACCACTCAGTGCTGAAATGGTGCCTCAGTTTCCCCAGCTGTAAATTTGAGTGAATGCTGATGCCAAGCACAAAGTGATGACGCTCTTTCTCTTCCTTCTTCCAGGGCCACAACCCTTTATACAAAGAGGCGACGTCTACCTTCACCAACATCACGTACCGCGGGAACATGTAAGGATGCCGCATCCAGCACTGGCCATGGGATCAGCCGAGGATCCGTGGGATCTTCTGGAATCCAGTTTACAGAAGAGCTTGTGTCTGTCTGTGTGTAATTTAACAATCCCTCGACTGCCTCCAAGGCCCTATTGTCCATCACCCCGCTGTAACTGCAGGGACGTGCTTTCCACAGCAAACCTCTCGTCCTTACCTCGGCGGGTCGCCTCGCGGGAGCCGGCGGCCCCTCCATACACTGAACGCGGAGAAATGGGACGTTCTCTGCCTGGCGAAGTCTGTGAACTGTTAGGTGCTCATCGGGCCAAGCGGATTTCAGGAGCGTTGCTTGAACCAAACACCGAACTGTGCTCTCCTCCGTGGCCCGTGCTGGTGAAGCTCTGCCCGGTCGGAGAGTCCCCTCGCGCACTGGACAGATGCGGTCCCTGTGGGGGCAGGAGCCATCTCCACGGTGGACAGGGCAGCTACGCTGGCTGCCAGCAGGCAGGAGCTGTCACACAGCTCTGGGTTGAGGACACCACTCGAGCAACCCAGCAGTCCCCTGCTTCTTGCAGCCACGTGTTTCTGGCACTGCTGTGGCCTGGGACAGTGAAAAGCAAAGGCCTTGGCATCGCAGTGCCCTTCCTCATTCCCTCCACACGCCCTCAGTTTGCACCACCAGCCAACTCTCTGTAGCATCAGCTGCGCCGGTCCCAGCTGCAGCCTGGCTCAGCCCCTGGGATGGTGCTGAGCTCCCCATGTTCCCCCCCACCATCACCACGCCACAAAGCACGTGGGTGTGCAGGCAGCAGCCTGGGAAGGGCCGTGATGCCTGTTCTCCCTTGAGCCTGGCCACCTCCCTCCCTTTGCTGTGCTTTTTGGGCTGCGTAACTGCACCACAGTTGGTTTTCTGTGTAGCTCAGGGTTCCAGAAGAGCAGGCAGGGTTCAGGTCACGTTGTGCTGCCTGGGGCTGTGCATCACCCATGGTTTGGACCCTGTGGGAAAATAAAAAAACATCCCAGTAGCAGAGTCTGGCTGTCACAGTCCTGCTGCCTGGTCCATGCCCCAGCCAGGCTGGTGCCTCTGCTCCCCTCGATTGCACCAAAAAGCAGCAGCGACCTTGTGTTCTGTATGGAGCTGCCCCCAGGGCGCCAGCAGTGCGGTGGCCAAGCTGGCAGTGGCCGTGTTGCGTGGCCAGCCCGTCCCCAGCAGTGTAG